AAATTGACACACAAAGTGGAGTGGTTATCAGGTGAGCATGTGACTTTGGCTGTAAAACTATTACTCACTTGCTCCTGACACACACACACACACACACACACACACACACACACACAATTGTGGGGAAATTTCATAGGTGTATTAGTCTTCTATTGACTTCATTCTTTCACATACATAGCCATTTGAAACTTAACGTCCCAATTGTCTCTTTCTTTATGTATTGTCATTAACACACTTGTTTGTAGAATAGTTTGTATATTGCTGTTTGTTACTCCTCATCATTTTCCTATATTCAAATGAATCGGAAGTCCTAAAAGTTTTGCAGAAGAGACCTTACTTTTGCATTGCAGAATAAAGTCAATACTTGCACAAACTGTTGGGTCTGTTCACTGCATTAAGGCTTGACTGTTAAAAAAGCATTGCAGTGTATACACAACGGTGAGCATATTTTAGCTTCTGTAACCACAGAAAGAAATAGAGCAGTCTAATGGCAGTATAATGCACTGATTTAGTAGCCACTAAAAAGTAAATGCTGATCTAATGTGTTCATAAAATAATGACCTAGTCCTAAGAGTCATTTTATATTGAATCAACTGCAGAGTTGACGTTTGTTTGTTTTAACATTAAGTCCATGTTGTATTTTGTATGCACAGTAAGAAATAAACTTTATTTTACAGGTAATTGTCTGTACTTTTTCCAGAATGTTTCAGTTTTTTCATTATACAGTGAAATGCCTGTTGATTAGATATTTCCTGTAATTAAAAATTCTGACACTAAAATTGCAGTTATTGCTCATATTTTAGTATTATGTTATTTTTCATTTTTTAAGAGAAATTTTCTGTATTTTCAGAGTTTAATATGTAATTTAACATTAATATTTACAGATTAGTCCTGTAAAATTAAGGAAACAAAAATTCTTTCAAAAATTTTTTTTTGTACTATTGAAGATAGTGATCATATAAAGATTAAAGGTATAATCAAAGTGGAACATTTTATGGATTATTTAGATCAGTACATAAATTAATCAGTATAATTACAATAATAACTTGCATAATTACAGTAATAATCATTATAATCACATTAATTAATCACATCACAGACCTCCCTCTCCCCTGACACTACCTCCAGCTCCTCCAGGGGGGAATCCTAGGGCGTTCCCACGCCAGCCGAGAGACATAGCCCCTTCAGCATGTCCAGGGTCTTCACCGAGGCCTCCTCCCAGTGGGACATGCCTGGAACACCTCTCTAGGTAGGTGTCCAGGAGGCATTCGAAACAGATGCCTGAACCACCTCAGCTGACTTCTCTCAATGTGGTAGAGTAGCGGCCCTACCCCGAGCTTTTCCCGGATTAATTAATCTGTATAATTACATTAATAACCTGTATAATTACAATAATAATCTGTATAATTGCAGAAATAATCAGTAAAAATGGCAGTAATTACCTTTATCATTACAGTAATAATCTTTAAAATGACAATAATAACTTGTAATTATAGTTCAAGAAATTACTTAGTTATACTTAATTATAGTGTTATATTACTTAATTATTGTCCAGTTTTTTTTATTTTTATTTATTTTTTTTTACAGATTATGTACATTCTTATTCTGACAATTTTATTTATTTATTTTTATTTATTTATTTATTTTTATTATGGCTATTTTCCGGCATTCCTGCTGCCAGAAAATTACAGTTTTTATGGGGTTTTTTATAGCGTAAACTTTTTAAATTCTTTACTATGTGTCATGTCATTGTAATATGTATTGTAAAATGTTATTTGCAGTCCTACTAATACATTTATTAATAGAGAATATTTGTCATATTTCTGACAAATATGTTCTCATTTAATCTCAAAACTACAACTTAACTATTTAATGACACAAATAGTCTGTTTTCGATTCCATTTTTTTTTTTTTTGTAAAATAATCTGGCCTTTTTAATACTTACACTTTCTGTTCAATTTTCATTTTATTTTACTCTATTCCAAGCTGTAAATGTTTGTATTGTACATCAGCTGGAAAAAAAACATCTTTCTGAAAGAGATTCCAATGATACTTCACACTTGGATGATTCATGCAATGACCTGATTTAAATAAAATAATTCATGGTTTTATATTATAAGCTCAATAAACTCAATTAAAGCACTAAATTAAATGAGCACTCTTGTTGACTGTGACAGAGTGTGGTCACTAGGTGACCCAGAAAATAGAAGAGAGAGAGAGAGAGAGAGAGAGAGAGAGAGAGAGAGAGAGAGAGAGAGAGAGAGAGAGAGAGTAAAATACACCTATCATGTCCTTTGATTGATCCTTGAGAAATACATCACACTTTAGCATTAGAGGGACTGTTACACCTACTGTGAGCTGCTTTAGAAATTAATTAGCTGCATTTATCATTTGATATTTGAAATTAGGGTAACACTTCACAATGAATGTTGGTGCTCTAACATGCATGAATTCACTGTTAAATAATGCACAGATAATGACGTGTTAATGTATGATCCATTAAGAACTAAACTTAACCAGCTTGAATTATTACTGACACTAAAGGCCAAATGAATGGTGATTTGCAATGGTCTGTGGTGTGTAGACAGCTGTTGGGGTCCCGTCTGGTTTAGTCACACTGCAGCAGCTGTCAGTAGTTCAGATTCTCACATTCAGTCTGAGAGCACTACTTACTTACCCTTGCTTCAATTGTGTTTTCTGACACTACTATCTGAACTGTCAAACAGACCTCAAAGTTTATTGTGGATAGCAAAACCATTAACCCTGATGGCATATTATTACATAATAATAATGATGAAAGCCATGTCTTGGTGATTGAAGTAATAACATAAATACATTTAGTAAATATTTAGCTAATTATTAAGGCAGACAACAAGTTGAGCTTTTGATAATTAACCTATTCACTTGCAATATTTGATAATTTTGTGGGAATAATACATTAAAAAGCACTATCCAAACTAATACATTAAAATTTACTTTTAATTTGTTTCTCACAATTTTTAGCAGTTAATTTTTTATTTAAATTTCACTTATATGATTTAAGTAATTTTTTTTTATTGCACTTGTTACGTTAAAATAACATTGTTTGTCAAGTAACGGAGCATTTTCTTTAATTTTAACATTGCCAAATAATGCCAAGCTGAAGATAAGGACACGATTTAGGTTTAAGAAGCTTTAATTGAATACTGAATTTACTTTTTTATTTTAACTTTGGCCTACACTTTTTTATTAAATGTAGAAGTTTGTACTTTTTCTATAGCATTATCAGTGTACAAGATGACATTTAATAACAACGATATTACTTAATCTTATAATAGATAGCATTATTAGTTGCTAGTGCATTGTCTAATAACATTTTAGTTGGTAATGATGAATGGGTATTCAAGTAGGGGATAGTCTCAGCCTCATGACAAGCACCGGAAACACTTTATTTTGATGGTCCATTTGAGTATTAGTAGACTGTCTGCTTAATATCCGTTGACACTGCTCCTTCAACAGACATTTAACTGACAATAAGAAACTTTGCAAGTACATGTCAACTTACACCCTAACGCCAACGCCAACCCTAACCTAAGAGTCTACATATAATCTAATGAGAATTAGTTGGCATGTTAATACAATGTAACTTAAAAACAGACCATCAAAATAAAGCGTGACCCAAGCACCGCCAAAATACCTGTTTCTAAAAGTCTGATGCATTTGCCACACTTTTATGAAAACACTTCAGCAGATCCCCAGTCATCCTCTGATTGGTTGAAACATTTCCAGAAGTCAATTGTGCAGCAATCTTAAGCAGTCCGCCTGGAAACAAGTCTTATGTCCTACATATATGTCCTACTGATTTCCATTGTGACTTGCTGACACATCATTAAGAATTTAGATGCATCATTGTTGTAAACTTTTAAAGAGAATCATGAATGAATTAGTCTGGGCTGTTTGTTTATGGACATTTTCACACTCATAAATATGACGCAACACAAAAAGAAAGGTAATTAGTTGTTTAGCCAATTAGCGTTGTGGTCAGTCCTTGATTATTCAAGGCCGCTAAGTACCCAGACTTTTAGCCTCAGTCGCAGGTCTGGCTATGCGAGACTATGTAAAGGCTGGTTTATACTTCTACTTCGAGCTATTGCCATGACCCACTGTACAAGCCTTAATCATGGATTTATACTTCTGTGTGCTGTTTGTGTTGCTCTCCAATAACACTTCCGAAACACTTGCTGGCCGTAGGTTAGGTTATGTTCTGTTACTCTGTGTTGAGTTTTTTCGCAGGTGTTTTGTTTTTTTTCTGAAAGATACCTTAGTGTACAAACAGCTAATACTTGCCCATTCAGAGGCGGGAACCGGCAGACATGCAACAACTTTAATCATAAGGTAAACAAAACATCTGAAGCTCCTTCACGAGATTCAGGCTTGCGGCTTAGCACACACACTTAGCACAGCTACCAAGCCGACCAATCACAGAGCTTGTGCTACATGTCCTTACAACAGGTAGTTAGATTGTTTTAAAAGTCGCATAGCCCCCGCGTCAGCCACGGCGAGGGCTATGCAACCGTGCGAAGGCTGCCCCAGACCACATGCTGCAGAAGTTGGGAATTTCTCAACTTGTCAGGTGCCAACGGAAGTGTGAGCCAATCAGATCGCTTAATACAAATACACTAGTTCAGACAGTAGCTGAGTGCGGACTAGTTTAATTGGCTGACACTGCCAGGACCATTTGGTAAGTCCCAACTTTAGACATGCCCTCTCTTAAGTGTTGTCACTGAAACCCCATGTGAATCGGGCATTGAGTCATAACATACAAATAGGCAGTTGTTCTCACAGAAAAATGCTGCGGTCATACTACAGTTTGGGGTGGGATGAAACAAGATGATTAGACATTAAAAAAGCGAGCGATTGGTCCATGTTTTAAATTTCTGTCCAGAGAGGACATGTTTTGACGTTAACCAAGCTTGAACTTATCGCACAAGCTTGCGTTTCTGGTCTGATTCATTCGCATGTGTAATGGGGCGATCCCCAAAGGGGAGGGGTTTCCCACTCGTATGCGTGTAGTGGGGGATCCCCAAGGGGGAGGGGTTTCCTCACTATGTTTAGGTGAATGGAGTTAGAAATTAAGCTCGCCACCCCTTTAAAAGTGTGGAGGTTTTGCTTCCGTTATCTCCCTGGCATGGAATAGTGGCAGTGTTGAGTGCGTGCAAACTTTTGATGTGCGTTAAGCATTGAGCGTTGAGCAGTAAGCCTGCAGTGTTTAGAAAAACCTGTAATTCTGTTTCTTTGGCCTGCGGAAGTGCAATCGCATCAGCAAGTAACGGTATGTCTCTGTTTATGTCTTTGGCTATTTCTGGCGAGTTTTAGAGCTGTTAATTAATAATAAATAATTCTTTTAGCTACATCCATGTATGATTGGTGGATTGCTCACCATTTGCGTTAAGAGCCAGTTGACTGGGCTGCGGGTAAGTTTCTATTTGAGAGTCTGTAAATGTTTTATCTAGAAATATGATTTTAAAACGTTAACATGCGAATGAATATTGACTGGTTGTTTTATAGAGAGCCCGTTGCTGTTTTGCTGCTGTCTGGCGACCCGTTTGTGCTACGGAGGGGCGATTTCACTTTCCTTCTCGGCACCTGATTGTGTGTGACTCGGTTGCGTCAAGGCAGTGTGTGTGTGTGTGTAGGATTGTGTGTGTGTGTGTGTGTGTGTGTGTGTGTGTGTGTGTGTGTGTGTGTGTGTGTGTGTGGGTGTGAGCGCGCCCTTATTGTGCGAGGGTGCGCTAAATTCTTTCGACGTTGGCGCGGTTGTGAGTGTGCGTGTATGTGTGCAGTGTTGTGATTTAACTATTTGGTGGGTTTGTATTTTGTTTGTGTAAATTGCTAAGGGCTGTTATTGTTCGACTTACATTTCAATACTAACAGCAAGGATTACCTTATATGGGGAGGGTTGTGTTATTTTGGTTTTGTTTGTTATGCGGGTGGTTTATTTTGAGTGTGGGTTAGTTTCTCTTTATTAATGAGTGTTTTGTTTTGAAGGTTTCGTTGCACTGGAGTGTGGCATTTTCCTCTTTTTCCTTTTGATCTTTCCCAATGGTATATCCTGTGTAATATTGAGTGTGAGAGCAGTGGCCACTGACAACCATTATACAAACCATTGTATTGTTTTGTGACTTATTGTAATTGACTATCTGTTTTATATGATTACATTTTAAAGAAAAACTCTATTTAAGTGTCTAATAAAAGATTGTTTGTACACATCTCTGCTTTATTTCCATTTGTTTGGAGAAAACCTGAAGTTGTGGGTAGTAAAGTGAACCTCTATTTGGTTATATTCAGTACAGTACGGGCCCCGGTCACATTTGGCGTAGTCGGCAGGGTTCCTTTACAAGCAGGGGTGTGTACTCAATCCTTGGGCACTTTGTGTGTTTGTTGAGAAACCTTTTTTTATTATTTCGTTTCATTTTGTTGTTTATTGTGAATGCTTTTGTGTGAGTGTGGTTGTTTTACAGCAGCAAAACAGCACCGGGCAGTGATTTAAAGGAAGCCTTCCAAGACTCACCGCTGTTCAGGTTATTAGTGAGTATTTGTTTTGTTTTCTGTGTTTTTTTTTTGTTTGTTTTTTTTCTTTACCTTAATGATGGAGAGTGAGTTGGATGAGCTGCGCAGGCAGGTTCAGTCCCTGCAATCGGAGAATGAACAGTTACAGCATCAAGCTAACTCTGCAGCCAGGCCTTCGGTGAGTGCTAGCTCTGTTGTTGATACCAATGCCCATGCCTCTGGTGTGTCAGATGCTTCTAGACCCATAGCAGAGCGTATTATTCTTATTCCTAGAGAGCGACGATGTTCCACGTTTAGTGGAAGGGGAGATGAGGATGTGTTTGAGTGGATAGAGGAGATGAAGAGTAATTTACGGGCCAGAAATTTACCAGCAAGGGAAGAAGCCCTTTTTATCCTTGATCATCTGGGTGGGTCTGCTAGAAGTGAAATTAAATTTAGACCAAGGGTTGAGAGAGAGGATCCAGAAAAGGTGTTTTCAGTGTTAAGAGAGTTATATGGATGTGCATACTCTTATATCTCCCTCCAGGAGCAGTTTTTTTCTCGTAAACAGGAAGAAGGCGAGTCCTTGCAAGATTTTTCACATGCCCTGTTCGCTTTGATGGAGAAGGTTGTACAATGTGCTCCGGGTGGTGTCCCTAATTCTGCCATCTTACTTAGGGATCAATTTGTAGAACACGTTGTTGACAATAGTCTATGTCGTGAGCTTAAGCGTTATGTTCGGCTCCATCCACAGTCCACTATTCTGGATGTAAGGAAGGAGGCAATTAGGTGGGTTGATGAGGGATTTCGTCCTGATACGCGTGAACGAAGTCATTCTGTCCCCTCCCTTGCTACCCAGTATAGGGTTCAAGGACATGGTCCACCATCAAGCAGTCGAGGTAATTCAACAGAGATAGCTGAATTAAAGGAGATGTTAAAGGCCCAACAAGAGCAACTTAATCGGCTCACTCAAGGCCTGCAGCAGCTACAGTCCCAGCATGCAGGTAATCCATCTAGACGGGTGAACCCTATTATCTGCAGACGCTGTAACCAACCAGGGCATATTGCCCGGAATTGTATAGTGGATTTTCGTAGATCCACTGAACAGCCGAGGGTGGTGTCACAGCAGAGTAATGCAGTGGGTGCTAGTAGGCCGTCGGAAAACTTCAACCCCCTGAATTGTTGAGCCACACTTCAGGAGGGGTAGCCACTGGCTCACAGCCCTCTGAGTTTAAAGGGAAGCAAGCACTTTGTAAGTTAGTAGGTAATTGTCCTTCTGTCACTATTACTATGGGTGGGGTAGAGGTTCCATGTTTACTGGACACTGGGTCCATGGTGACAACTATTTCAGAGGGATTTTTTTTCCAACATTTTGAGCCTTGGGGCAAAGAGAAGTTACAACGCTGTGGATGGCTCCAGCTGCGTGCTGCAAATGGTTTAGAAATACCTTATTTGGGTTACCTGGAGTTAGATTTTGTTGTTCTTGGGAAGAACATCCAGAATAAGGGGGTACTTGTGGTGAAAGACCTGCCCAATTCCTTACCAGGTGGGTTTCCTGGGCTGTTGGGCATGAATGTCATTCAGGAGTGTTTTAGGGAGTTGTTTAGTCAGCATGGTTCCAGTCTTTTTGATCTCCCTACTGTGCGGGAGGTTCCTGCATGGTATTCTGCTTTGCAGTATTGTAGGGAGACTGAAACTGACAATTGTGAGATTACAGAAAGATTGGCTAGGGTTGGGGGTCGAGAAGCAGTGCGAATCCCTGCTGATTCGTTGCGTTTTGTGCCTGTCACATTTTCCTTACCCATAGGCCCTTCACCTTTACTGCTTTTTGAGCCACTAGAGACGGAGAATTCACTTCCGGCTGGTCTACTGGCCTCTGTATCTTTAGTACCAATTGTTCGGGGTGTGGCTTTTGTACCCATAGTTAATGTGGGGGAACAGGATTCCCTGTTGCAGCCGCATGTAGTAGTAGGGACATTGTGTAAAGTTCAGACTGTTCCACAGCTAGATGTTATGACTCCACCAGAGGAACAGGCCCATCTTCAAGCAACAACTGCATTGCAAATGGTGAGAGGGGACACAGTGGAGGAGGCCATCCATACTTTGGATCTGCCTCAGCTGTCTTTGGATCAGCAGGCTCAGGTTAAATCTCTGCTGAGTAAATATAGATCTGTTTTTTCAGCTCATGAGGGTGATTTGGGTTGTACTGAGCTCATAACTCATCAGATTCCGTTGCTTGATAGTGAGCCAATACGGCAGAGATATCGACGCTTGCCCCCTTCTGATTATGAGGCAGTTAAGGAGCATATTCACCAGTTGTTGCAGAATCAGGTGATTAGAGAGAGCTCTAGCCCGTATGCCTCTCCAATTGTGATTGTGCGGAAAAAAGATGGGCAGATTCGTCTTTGTGTTGACTATAGGCAGTTGAATGGTAAGACGCGGAAGGATGCTTTCCCTCTGCCACGAATTGAAGAATCACTGGATGCCCTGAGTGGAGCCCAATGGTTTTCCACATTGGATCTTGCCAGTGGCTATAATCAAGTACCAGTGGCAGAGGGAGATAAGTGTAAGACCGCTTTTTGCACGCCCTTTGGGCTATTTGAATTTAATCGAATGCCCTTTGGGTTGTGCAATGCCCCTAGTACCTTTCAACGCCTTATGGAGCGCATGTTTGGGGACCAAAGGTTCCAGACTTTGTTACTCTATTTAGACGACATCATTATTTTTTCGTCCACTATTGCACAACACTTGGAGAGGCTGGAAATGGTTTTTGTTCGACTACAGCGAGAGGGTCTTAAGGCCAAACTAGAGAAATGTTGCTTTTTCCAACAAAAAGTAAGTTACTTGGGGCATGTAGTGTCTAAGGAGGGGGTATCAACTGACCCAGCCAAGATTAGTGTGGTGGCAGAGTGGAAGCGTCCAACTAATGTGACTGAGTTGAGGTCCTTTTTAGGCTTTACAAGTTATTACAGACGCTTTGTAGAGGGATTTGCACGGTTAGCAGCCCCGTTACATCGCCTTGTTGCAGATTTGGTGGGGACAAAGAAGAAGAGGGGTTCAGGAAAGTCAATTGAAAGTTGTTGGACCGAGGATTGTGAACTGGGCTTTCAAAATTTGAAGCAGCGACTGGTGACTGCTCCTGTACTGACTTATGCAGATTTCTCTCTCCCGTTTGTGTTGGAAATTGATGCGAGTCATTCTGGGTTAGGGGCTGTGCTGAGTCAGGAGAAGGATGGGAAGCTGAGGCCAGTTGCTTATGCTAGCCGGGGGCTTCGTCCCACAGAAAGAAATATGCAAAACTATAGCTCCATGAAATTGGAGCTATTGGCATTAAAATGGGCGCTAACCGAAAAGTTTAGGGACTACCTCTTAGGACAGAAGTGTGTAGTGTACACAGATAACAATCCCTTGAGTTATCTTAGGACAGCCAAGTTGGGTGCTTTAGAGCAGCGCTGGGCTTCTCAGCTTGCAGCTTTTGATTTTGATATCCGATATCGTCCAGGCCGTGTTAACGGTAATGCAGATGCCTTGTCCCGTCAGTATACAGCGCTACCATCTTCACAGAACGATTGTGGCACCACTTTGCCTGCAGTGTTGGTAGAACTTCTGCATAAGGAACCGGTAGTATTGGCACAAAACACCATCTCTGTTTTCCCTACCACTTCAACTGTAGATTTGCAACGGGAGCAGGAGCGGGATTCAGTTATTGGCCCAGTGCTCAACTTTTTCTCTTCTAAAGTGTATCCAACTAAAGAGCAACGTCAGGCTATGTCCAATAGATGTCGGGAACTGCTACGTCAGTGGAGCAGGTTATTTAAGAGAGATGGGTTGCTATATCGTCATCTAAAACTGCCTGGTGGGGGGGAGGAAATAGATCAGTTGCTGCTCCCTGAGGTTTTGCAGGCAGAGGTTTTTCAGCAATTTCAGCAACCAGCCACTAGCCCGTGCACCTATGGGCCATTTGCTGGCATCAAGACCAAATCAAATCTTGGCAGTTGATTTTACTACATTGGAGCGGGCTAGTGATGGGCGAGAACATGTCCTGGTGATTACAGATGTGTTTTCAAAATACACTCAAGCTGTGCCCACACGGGATCAGAAAGCAATCACAGTAGCTAACATCTTGATCCACGAGTGGTTTTATAGGTTTGGGGTACCTGCGCAGATTCACTCAGATCAAGGTCGAAATTTTGAGGGTGCAGTGGTCTCTCAGCTTTGTCAGTTGTATGGGGTTCAGAAGACTCGCACTGTTCCATATCACCCTCAGGGAAATGGGCAGTGCGAGCGTTTTAATCGAACCCTTCATGACTTATTACGTACATTGTCTGTGGAACAAAAGAGGTCATGGACTTGCCATATCGCACAGGTATGTTTTGCCTATAATACAACGCCTCACCAGACTACTGGTGAGTCGCCGTATTTCTTGATGTTTGGGCAGGTTCCTAGACTTCCAGTTGATTTCTTGCTCACAGCTGTGGATGCACCTGTCAGTGGGCAGGTAAAAGATTGGGTGGATGAGCATAGAGAGACCCTAAAAGAAACGTATAGCAGAGTGAGGGCTCGGCTGAATAGAGCCGCAGAACTTCGTAGGAAACGCCATGGTCAGGTAGGAAAGGAGTCTGCATTGCAAGAAGGCCAAGAAGTTTATTTGCTTGACCAAGGTGTTCGTGGTCGTCATAAAATTCTAAATCATTGGTCCAGCACTGTTTACAAAGTGGTC